CCCGTGGAAGACCTTGTCGATTCGTCCGCGAAAAATGTCCCGCGTTCGCACTCACCACGATAAGGGCCGTGCGTCTTCCAGGTGACAATGTCTGATTGTGTTGTATACATGGCAAGGCGAAGCGGAAAGGTGCGTATAGCGCTTGCATATCCTATATATATATATAGTATATATATCATGGTGTGTGTATGCGTGGTTGCTCGGTGTGTAGTGCGTGACGTTTTACGTGCGGCCCGTGCGGTTGCGCCCGGCCGGCGGCGTGGGCTTTGTGTGTGTGTCGTGTGTTGCGTGAACATGGCAGTGCGCGTGACGCTGGGTGCGTGTGCTGTTGGGTGACCTGTGTTGGATATAGCGCCATGGCTCTCCCCGTGACTCTGCAGCGCATCCGCTGCATTCCTCCGCGTAGAGGTTACTGTCGTCCCTCGGCGCGCGCCGGCGCACGCCACATACACGCCGACGACGCGCGCGACGACGTCGGCGGAATTTCGCAGACGAAGCCACTTTCTGTGTCTAAGTTTGGCTGTTACGGCCGGTGACACAGGTGATGGATCTCGGGTCGTCTATTACACTCGTTGCAGCCACAGAACACTCGTTCTGTGAGCGAAAGGGGAGGAGGCGTAGTTGTAATGCGCGGTCAAGTGATGCGCGTTCTCAAATATGCAGTTGGCCTGGATAGCTAATTATAGAGATGAAGCGTACCTGGTAGTTCGTGACAAGTGCTATCTTACGCATCCAGGTGCGCGAGTATTTATGGGATGACTGTGAATAATCGGGCGGCTACTGGGTGGTGTGACACGGGCTTTTAATGGAAATGGTAGCGCGCCTTAAACATCGCGTGGTGAACTTGGTCCAGTTTTTGGGGTTGTAGACCTACATTATTATAATGAACATTCGATTTCTTTAATAGGCGTTTTGAACGCAATATAAATTATGCAAGGTAAATAAATATATTATATAGTGTTGTGTGATTAGCTATGTGCGTGCTGTGCCGTGCGTGCGTGCGTGCGTTGCGTGCCGTGGTCGTGCGGTGCGAGCTGCGTCGTATATAAGAGATAACCATACAATGGCTGTGCTTGGTTAGAGGAATCGAATGGCGGCATCGTCGTCATCCTAATACGTCCTTCAGCTTGTCATTTGTTAGTCATTTGTCATCGTGCTGCATCCGCTCCGCGTCAGCGTGTCACGCTGTCAACTCGCGTGTCACCATGCGTAATATGATGAAGAGGACAAGGCCGGCGGGAGAATATTGATGAGTAAAGCGTTATTAACGAGCATACAAACACATGCATTAGCTAAGCTCGCCGCTGATGCTTCGTTAATTAGACACATTAGCATCACAAATA